CACACTGCATTGAGCAGCCGCGTTCAGTTTTTAACTGTAGTGTCTGTTCTTTTACTGAACTAAATGATTTTTACTTCTATAAAAAAATCAAAACGATGGTGGGGCTTAACACCGGTATCACCGTCAACACCGTCTATCGCTGCAAGCCTAGTGTGAAGGCACCCGACTCACCGTTGCTTAGCAGAGAGCGCTTAGTGTTTCTCTCACACATGCAAAGAGAGGGAGAGCAGGACAGTCTTACTTACCACGTTGAACTGATATGCTACATGTAAATTATATTCTTTGTTGTATTTTCCTGTTAAAATAGTGGAGTATTTGTATTTTAATTGTAAGCAGAAGCCACTTCTGGTTCTCACTGGCTGGTGCTCATTTATATATACATATATTAGCCTGGTGAGTAATCAAAAAAATTGACTAGCCAGTGGTGTTTCTATTGTCAAGGTGAGCGTATGAGGTTGCACGGGGTTCATTTCTCACTTTGGACGGATGGATTAAGACACAGCTCAAATGTTGATGTCACTAGTGGGAGTGTCTTATCTCATCAAACTGAACTCTTCTTCTGCTGCTCATTCACTAATAAAAGGTGTTTCTTCATTCACTCCTTTTCCTGTTGATTCTGAAAGGAAACAGAGGCAATGACAGAGATTCAAAAGAGAGAAGACCTGGAGATCAAGTCGTTTCTAAGAAATCAAAATGATTGTCAATAATTTACCATCAAATTACCATTAAAAATAATATGTACAAATAATTTCAATAACACATCGTCATTAGCACTTCTGACTCATTTTATAAGTTAAATCTTGTTTGAGCACTTGCTCTTTTCTCACAAAATGAACATTATATTTGTGAACTCAGTCATGCACCTTTCAACATGCAAACTTAAATGTGAAGTTCACATTGATCTTTTAACACATTCAAAGATTTACAACTTGCCCATTTCTCTCAGGACAAACACATTTTCATTCACTTACATTAATTTCTGATTATCTGGCAGTTTGTATTCAGATGATTTTGTTGGATATATGAACAGATCAAAGTGTAAAATGGTGTTTGAGCAAGGCAGTGCTAAATAAAAAAAAATTGTTGAAATAATCAATTTACACACTGGAGGACAAAACTTTGGAATGACATTTGTTTAAATAAATTACAAAATGCAGAAAATAAAATCAGACTTTTGTCTGAATAATTGAATAAATAACCAACAGCGTGCATCTAACCAAGTGAAAGGACATCAAATCTGTTCCATCATTCATAAAAGCACCATAAACTGTAGCACGGAGTACAGAGACTACAGTCAAACATTGTGCTGTTGCCTCTAAAACCCCACTAGGAGGCGTCAGCAAACTGTCGAGCAGGTTTAGTGCGAGTTTAGTAATATTCAATATCTCTTCCCTCCATATCTGTGTGGCCATTCAAGCAAATTCCAATGTAACTGAGGTCTCCACGGTGATT